TGGTGTCGAGAATATGCCATGCCTGCTGTGCCCTGGACGACCGTCGCGGATAGCGGCCGCGGTGAGAGACCCCCCCCCTTGCGCACCCCCTCTGGTGTCGAGAATATGCCATGCCTGCTGTGCCCTGGACGACCGTCACGGATAGCAAGAGACCCCCCCCTGCGCACCCCCTATGGTGTCGAGAATGTGCCATGCCTGCTGTGCCCTGGACGACTGTCGCGGATAGCGGCCGCGGTGAGGGACCCCCCCTGCGCACCCCCTCTGGTGTCGAGAATATGCCAAGGCTGCAGTGCCCTGGAGGACCGTCACGGATAGCGGCCGCGGTGAGAGACCACCCCCTGCGCACCCCCTCTGGTGTCGAGAACATGCCATGCCTGCTGTGCCCTGGACGACCGTCACGGATGGCGGCCGCGGTGAAAGACCACCCCCTGCGCACACCCCGTGGTGTCGAGAATGTGCCATGCCTGCTGTGCCCTGGACGACCGTCGCGGATAGCGGCCGCGGTGAGAGACCACCCCCTGCGCACCCCCTACGGTGCCGAGAATATGCCATGCCTGCTGTGCCCTGGGCGACCGTCACGCATAGAGGCCGCGCTGAGAGACCTCTCTCAGGGCACTCCCTATGGTGTCGAGAATATGCCGTGCCTGCTGTGGCCCTTCGCACCAGCGGCTTCAGGAATGTCGGATTCTGCGGCGACGCATCGACCGTGCATTGCAACAGTCTAACAACTCCGCCCCCTGTCCAGACGACATCCCATACGCAGCACGGCGCAAGTTTGGGGATGTGTCCATTGAGGTTTTGCGAGAAGGCTTCCAGGATATATGCCGCCTGGCTAACCCCGAGGCGCCGCGTGACCTTTGGCCGGACTTCAACGCTGGCCTGCTGATCCCCCCCCGAAGCAACCCAGCGGGGAGACTTTGGGCGGGGCGGCGCACTGCGCCGTGGGCGGCGCGCGGCCGCTCAGCTTCGCCAGCGCGGACAACAGACTTCTAGCCAGTGCTTGCCGTTGGCTGTTGGAGCCGGCGCTGGGGCCCCTCGTCACCGGGGAGCAGAAGGGGGCTTTATTCGCGGTCGGTCGATGCTGAGCAACATCGTGGATATTGAAGAGGAGATGCTGCGCTGCGCGGCTCTGGAAACAGGCGGGTTGGCATTCTTCTTTGATTGCGCTGCTGCCTTTTCCTCCATCGGGTAGCAGACCTTCATGGCATTCTTCAGGCACTTAAGTGGGATGGCCGCCGCGGCCGCTTACTTTCATTGGCGCCCTCTTACGCGAACAACTATTGCGATATATATATCTGGCGGGAGCGCGATTCAGAGGCTTTGCGACGACTCGGGGGATTCGGCAAGGCTGTCCGTTATCGCTGTTGCTGTATGCCGCTTGCTCGGATCTGCCCCTCGGGGGGCATGGCCGAGAGATGCGGCAGCCTCGCGACCGCGCATTCGCAGACGACTTGGCGGTGGTGCTAACAAGCGCTGGCCCACAGCTACAGCGTCTGAGGCAGTTGTCCGATGAGTTCGCTCGCGTATCTGGCCTGCATCTCAACGTCGGGAAATCGGTGATAGTGCCTTTGGACCCGGGCGCAATCGAGCACGCGAAGGCGCTTCTTCGCAGGTGCGTGCAGGGGTGGGACGGGGTGACCGCTGCCAGCGCAGCCAAGCATTTGGGTGTCTATCTGGGCCCCAGCAAGGCGCAGACGCCGCCCGGCCAAGTTCGCGTCGTGGGCGGAACAATGGGGGTGTCTAGACGCGGGTCTCATATTCACCTTGGAAGCTTTACGCGCCTACACGGTCTCCGTTCTGCTCTTCGTGGGCCAGCTTGAGCGCCCTCCCGAAGACCTCCAATGCGCAATTGCGCGGGCCGGTCGGCGCCTCTTCCCAGGCCCGTGCGATGGGACTGCCGCCGAGGCGTTGCAGGAACTCGGGCACTTCGGGTTCCCAGCGAGCCTCACGGATGTCGATTTGACAACGGTGGCGGCGAAGGCGAGAGCGGTTCAGCACGAGGCTGGCGGGAGTTTGGACATCTCCTGGCGGACTCTGGCGATGGCCGCTCTGGAGTGCCCGGCGCGCGCTTCGCTTGCCAGGGTTGAGGTCCTGGAAACAGGTTGCTCGCGCCCCTGCCCTTGAGGAGGCGCGCCAGCGCTTTCTAGTGTTCGGAAGCGGGGGGCCCTGGCAACCGGAAGCGGCGCAAGCGGCTGGGTTGGCAGAGGCGTGCGGCCCTACTGCTCTGCGCTGATGCGCGCCCTTCGCCGGTGACGCAGTTCCGTGCGCGATTGACGAGGAAGCTGCAGCACTGGCCGTTGGCGCTTCTTCCCCGCCTTCGCGCCGATCCTGCTACCGAGGCATTGGAGCGGATTGGGGTTTTGTGCCAACGTCTCTGGTGCAATGGGCGGCGCACCGGCCCCCGATTTGGGCGCGCCACGGGCTGCCGGTTTGGCTGTGGTCACGACCAAGATTCGCTTCGACATTTCGCTTCTTGCCGGGTCGTCCGGTCGCTGCTGCA